TGGGTTGGACTTTTTCCTCTGCAGAGTTTTACAGATCTGACCCTTGGCTTCAAGCACATACGTCTTCCTCATAGAACTGGCATCAGCAACTTCCTGAGAACCCGATGCCCACCTCTGACCACACCCTGTGGAAATGCGCAGCCAAGTAAAGTTCTGAACAACAACAACAAAAATGTAGAAGCTATTGGACTTCTTGGAGGACAAAAGAGCAAAGCAGAGTCTGAGCATCTAATATAATACAACAAGCATCTAATCCTGATAAGGTTACCAGTATTTTCAGCATTTGCTGAAAATAGAAATTCTGAAACTAATATTAATGGGACCCACGAATGTGACAGAAACAAGGAACCCAGTGACCAAACAGGCATTGACATGAGTGGAATTGAGAACAAAATTTCACAGTGGTGCAGAGCTTAAAGGAGCATGAGGGAAGCGGTTGCTTTTTGATGATTCTGAAGTGAAAGTTCCAGAGGGACTTTTGGAATTCTCTTTCCCCTTCAACATCTTCTACATCTACTCCCCACTTGCTATTTTATAAGAAATTATAGTGAGTATATTTTCCTTGTGTATATATTAAACAGACCTGGACAAACATTGGTAAAGTTTATTATATCCAAGTCTTTATCTTTTGAAGCTATTGAATATGATTGGTCTCTAGGCTTTTATGTAAATAGTGAAACTTTCCTGAAAACCATGTTAATTTTTAGAATTCATTTTCTTCACAGAGACTAGTAAGGCATTAGCTTCTGGGAACAAACTTGTTCTTTATCCAAAATGGAAGCAGTTAAACACTTGGATTTACACCGATCTTTTGTGTTTGCTTTTTAAAATAAAGTGCTTGTATTTGTATCCCCTGTATTCTGGAGTAATTACCTACTTGATGTTCATAGGTCTGTGTTTTTTCACCCAAGAAACAGAATTTCATTCAGTATATTTAGTTTTGTAATAGTCATAAAGCCAAATCTTTGGGCTGTATCAGAGGCACAAAGTTTAGAATGTGTATATTCACGACGCTGTATATTTTGTGCCTTGAATCACTCTGAAGTGTCTCAGAAATCCTGGCAGTCCTCTCTATCTTCATAGGAATTTCATATGTATTTATGAAGATGATTCTGTATTCTAGTCAATCTTTTTGGGCATGACTAATTTGTCTCTTCATATTCATTCTGCATGATCTATATATAGTACATCAAACTTAGAGGTAAAAAAACTGGGAGGTCAATGGGGCTGGAGAGATGGTTCAGCAGTTAAGAACACTGGTTGTTCTTGCAGAAGACCTAGGTTCAAATCCCAGCACCCACATGGCAGCTAACAACTGTCTGTAACTCCAGTCCCAGGGGATCCAACAGCCTCTTCTGACCTCCGCAGGCATTGCACGACATGGGTACACTGACCTACATGCAGGCAATACACACATACACATAAAATAAAAATAATAAAAAGTTTTTAAAAAGTTTTAAAAAACTGGGAAGTCAATAAAATGTAAACTATTTAACAGTTATGTGTAAAAAAAATTGAGGAGGAACCAATAGATGGATGCTTTTGGAAGCCCTCATCAAGAAATTCCAATGGACTTTAATTTGGACATTTGAAATTTTCCCTGTTCTGACTTTTTTCTGGTTCCCCGTCTAGAACTTGTAATGCTAGTTACTCTTGCCTTTACTTCTCCTTCACATCTCCTAGACACCAGAAAGTCAAGGACTTTCTTTCCTCTCTATAGTCAAAAGTTATGGAAGTTGGGTGTCTTAGATAGACCCACTGAGCGGGGGTACCCCAATTGCTTCACTCTGCATTCCCATTCAGCATAGAAGAAGCCAGATTGGTCTTTGTCCTGATTCCCTATCAGCAATTTGGGTAAACCTCTTTAGAGGGTGATGTGATAAGAATAGGAGGTAGAAATTGGCTAGGCAGTTAGGGTAAAAAGACCCCAAAGAAAAGTAGCCAATTTCTTTTTTGGCTAAAAGTCAAAATGTCCTTAGGCCTTTTAGCAACATACTCTATTCCAAAGGCCAAAAATGTCAGAAGTATTTGGGAGCTCTTATCTAAGCCCTAAAAGATTTTAGGGTTACCTCTTCAGAGGGGGGAATGTTAGAGTAGCAAAAAGCCCCATAAATTTAACTGGTCCAGACTATAAAATGTCTAGTCTATCTGTGGGAGGACCCACTTTTCCAGTCTCACTGGTCAATCACCTGGTGGTAGAACCACTCCTGGAAGGCAGGTTCACCTTAAGTTATGCTAAATAGATGGGCGGAATACCTGGCGCGTTAATGAGGTAGTGAATTTTTCCTGCCTGGAACTAGCTCAGACCTCCGCAGAACTTCCAGACCAGCCACAGTCATGTAGGTCTCTCTAAGTCTGTCCACTTTCCTGAACTCTTCAGGAAAGCATGATTTCTCCTTTTCTTCTTCATGCCTTTCTTACTAAACAGGCTTTGGGCCGCCCCTAGCATCTTGTGTTTCTTCACTTTTTCCGTACTGCTTCCTTCTCCCAGCCGTATGGCTGCCAGTCAGCCACGTGTCTGGCTCCATGGCTTTCTTTCCTTTTTCCCACCATCACCTCCTCAAGGCGGCTGCCAAGATGACCAGCTCTCCTGCCCTGAGGATTTTTCTTTATGATTCTAATAAAATTGGAACTTGCACAGCAGCCATTGCCTGCTGTTTCCCATCTATAGCTCTTCAGAGGTTTTCTTCAGCACTGGCCCTCCACCCCATCACCTTCTTCCACATCTGCTGCCCTCACTGCCCCACCACTGCTCCCCACTATTTCCACCTGGCCACTCCCTGGAACTCTGAAGCCACATCTGGTTGCTACTGCTGCTGCCATTGCCCCTACCATCCCCGCCCCTTTCACTGCTGCTACCACTCCACGACCACTTCTACTGTCTTCATGTGACCAGATCAGCCTGCTATGCCAATGATAAAGGTCAGCTGTGGCTGGAGCAGTGCCCTCTAGAACTGGAGTTGGGCATTGACAGCAAGTAGTTGTGGTTGTGTAATTTCAAGATATCTATGCAGTGCCTAAAGCAGACAGGCTGTCGTGAGGGCCGTCTGCTCAGCTGCTTGGCTGATGGTCAGCCACTGAAGCCATCTAGGGCACTAAGGAAGGGTCTGACAGCTTCACTTAGGGAGTCAAATCACCACAGCCCTCAACATCTTAGCTTACTTAAAGGAAAAATAAGCATTAACAGGTGCTTAGTATGAGGGGCTATTGTTGACATTCCTAGTGTTCAACAATGCAATAGTCTTAGCCAAACACCCCTGAAGAAGTGGCTTTGTTTCATCTCCCTCAGCACCTCTAAGCTGAGAACATTTTATGTTAAAATGCATTTGATACCTCTGACTGAAAAGCATAGCAGGGCTGCCTACCTGAGCATTTGTGTCAGCCCATAGCTTGGCAAAACCATCAAATACAAACTATGTTCTGTAAAAGTGTGTTCAGTGTTTCATGTAATATACTGGCTACTGTTCTAGTCCGCTTTCAATTGCTGTGACAAAACACTCTGACCAATACCAACTTGCGGAGGAAAGGGTTTATTTGGCTTACATCTCCTGGGTCACAGTTCATGGGGAGCCCAAGGTAGGAACTCAGGGCAGGAACCTGGAGACAGGAGCTGGAGCATAGGCCATGGAGGAACGTTGGTTACTGGCTTACTCCCCAGGCCTGCTCAACCTGCTTTCTTATACAATACCGGACAACCGCTCAGGGGTGGCACCACCCACAGTAGTCTGGATCCTCCCTCGTCACTCAGTCAAAAAGATGCCTCACTGACATGGCCTCAGGCCAGTCCAATGGAGGCAATTCCCCAATTGAGGCTCCCTCTACCCAGGTGTGTCGAATTGATACTGAAGCTATCCAGCACAGCTACCTTATCAGAAAACTGCAGGCTAAACAGTACAGCATGAAGGACTGCTTGTGTACCCTTTGGCTACGGACAGGAAGCCACTCAACATCAAGACAGCACCGTGTCACAAACTACCATGGGGGGGGGGAGAGAAAATCAAAGTTTAACTTTCAAAGTATTATTTCCATTGAGAGTGTTTGTATTGTTTCTTCACTGTCATCAAGTTAAAAGAAAATCACATGTTTCACCCTCACCCTGTAGGAACCTACAGGAGGCTTTTTCTGTGCCTTGAGGCTGGGTCAACCCTCAAGAAATGCTCTCATTCCTGTAACCCTGAGTCCCCGGCCAAAGTTTTGGTGTCTCAAACAATGACGAGAAAGCACACCCTGGTGTCTAGAAGGTCCTGGAACTCTTTGGTCAGGTCCTTTCCCTGCCCTGTCTCAACCCAAATTGCCAAACAACTGGCCAGTGTTTAGCTTCCTGGACACACAATGGAGCTGGTCACATGAAGATGTGTTAAGGGCATGTGGAGAACCTCGACCAGGCCGTGGTGGAGTGGGAGAGCCCAAGATGTATATGTATGTTTCACCTACATAAAGTGTACTTATGTGCATGTCTGGTATGTGTGGAGTCCACAAGACAGCATCAGATTCCCTTGAACTGGAGTTAGGGACAGTTGTGAGCTGCCATGAACCAGATCCCCTGCAAGAGCTGCTGGTGCTCTAACTACTGAGCCATCCCTTCAGTCCCAGGTCTGTGCATTTTAAAAACTTCTAAAAAGTGTAAAAATTTGGTTCTTGGGTTTGGAGCACAGGGCGTGGGCCAAGTGCCCAGGGCAGACTACAGAAAGTGGATTGCATAGGAGCAGTGTGAACTTGGCCCACAGGAATAGGGCAACTCTGGGCAGGCCCCCACATTCATCCAGAAGTTCCCCAACAGCTGTAAAGTGACTGCACTAAAGAGGGGCCAATGTCTAGCACAGCCTCACAGTAACTGCCATAAGTAAGGGCAGACAACAGCAGCCATAGATACCATTAGATGTGTGTGCTTTAGGGGTGTTTTGACTGTTGGTAGTAGAGGGGCCCAGAAGCATGATAGTGCTCCCAGTCCTTAGCCTGGTCCTACTTGCTCTATACAGATGGACAGAGACAGCTTAGTGTTATCTATAAAGTATCTTCTCTTTATTTAAGTTAAACAATTTCAAGGATGGTTTCCATCTATAAAATGGACAAAGTACAAGCTCTGTACAGCAGTTCTTTTTTTAAAAATCAACTGGAAAAAAAATTACCAAACTATATTTTGAATTTGCAAAACATACAGATACCATCTTTTTTTCAGCTTCACGGAGACACGAGGACCACCACAGAAGACAGCCGCCTTTGCCCATGTGGTCTCTGGGCTTCTGGAAGTTTTGATATTTAAAAACAGGAGTGGGAGGGTGGGATAGCCCAATGACTACAAAACAATGCAAGCACGGCGAGTCACTTTGGCACACTGTGTCATGTAAATGTGGCTCACCTCAGGTCCCTGCCTCTGTTCAGAGCCCAGCTGAGTGGCACCTGGGTGGCCAGACAATCAGATGGTACAGAGGTGACGGGGACCACAGGGTGGGGTGCAGGTATGTGGGCAGACACACCTGGTTAAAAACAGCCAAGTCGCTTCATATCCGTGGTTCTCCCTCTGAGTGAAGCAGCACAGGTTACAGTGTTTAATGGCAGAGTGCTTGGGTGGAGCTCCAGCAACCTCGGTCCTGCCTGTCCCATGACAGACTTGCACCTGTACCTATGAGTGACATTCCTCAGAGCCCACCTTGAGAGGTGGACGTGTGTGGCGTTAACCAGGTACATGGACACCCTGTCTGCTATAATGCATCTTGTTGGCTTTTTGGCAGGGGGTAAAAAGGAGACAGAGGGTCAGCACCTGGCCAGGCCTCCACAGAGTGGCTGTGGTCATGGTGCGTACACATGCGCAACTCCTGTAGCAGAGGAAGACCAGCCACTCCCCCTTCTTGGAGCAGGCAGGAAGGAGAGCATGCCCCTGCAGGCCCCCTGGGGCCACTTGCAACTACTTGGTCTCCAGGGTTCCCTAGGTTGCCTGTGTTGTGCATGTATGATATCTGCAGCCCTACTAGGCAGTCACCAGGCTTCCCATGACTGCATCCAGGTGTCTAACACACACCTGGGTCCTCCATGTGAGCTCTATGGTCCTGACTTGACCCTCAGGTTGAGGGGCTTGTCCCCTGTGCTCTCTACTGGCAGCTCAGTTAGTACCAAAGACCCAATGCCCAGGGTTAGAATGTGACAGTTGTCAATGTCCCTGGTCTGCCTATCACAGGGGTCCTGTTGGTTCATGTTAGTCAGAAGCTGTGGAGTTGGTTTTTGTTTTTTTTCCTAAAAGAAAAGTAATTTAATTTTAAACAAAAACCCAAAACAATACTTGCCAAAAGAGGTAACCTATTTAGGTTTACAGATGACAATGGACACAAAGTAGGTTTTCCAACCCAGCCGCAACTCCCACACTGAAGCCAAACACAGATGTTCATGAGCCGGGCCAGTAGTCTGAGGATACCTCCAGCTGGTAGAGCAGCACCTACTAGCTGGACAGGCTCCAGGGACAGGGAGGCCACCCTAGGCTCTGGGAGTCCAGCCCCTCTACACGGCTGAGCTGCAATGTGGGGTTTACAAGATGATAACATGGGGAAACCATAGGGAACTGACCACCATTCTTCTCTTTATAATAGGAAAGTTCACGCTCAAATAGAGCAAGCATGTCAGTGGAAGGGGGGTGGTGGCACCAGGAGGTCTGCTGGGCCCAGAGGTGCAGGGACAGAGCACAACTGGGAAATCTGCAAATAACATGGGTCAGCTTTGTAGAAATCACTTTTTTTTAAAAAAAAAAAAAAAAAAAAAAGACAGGGTCTTGCCTGCCTCAGCCTCCCGAGTGATGGAATTACAGGCATTGGCCACCATGCCTGCTTTACATACATGATTTTGGATGGGTTAAAACAAAAGATGGGAGATTTGGAGTTCTTGCTGCAAGGGCACCATGCCCCCTGCTCCTTCTGTCTTCAACACATACATGCTCACTACTTGCCCACCGGCTCCAGCCAACGCTGAGCTGTTCCTCAGCTGGGGAGCAAGCAGAAGTGGAAGGTGGGAGGCAGAGGACGCCAGCCTTGGGAGGGACCCTCTGTCCCGAGGCCCTTTGGGGCCCGTTTCCTCTCCTGCGCAGCCGTCAGCCCAGCTTATGCCTTGCTCAACTTCTTTGCCTTTCAGACCATGATGGAACACTGAGGTATATAGTTTCTTGGAAAGTTTCAGAAACATAATAATGTGATCGCCAAACTGGGCTGGTGTGCAGGTGGACAGGAGGGCCTGGGGGCCTCCTATTGCTGCAGGTTGAGTGAGAACTTCCACTGCTGCGACAGGGCTGGGCCGCATACCTCCACACTCAGGCCCCCGCTCTTGGCCGTGCGGCTGTCTAGACACAGGTTGCTGCCCACGTGTCGTAGCTTGGAGTTGCCCTCGATCTGTTCCCATTTCTGCAAAAGATGTGAACACGGTATGAAGAAAGCACAGCACACAGAGGAGCACAGGCCAGGCCAGTGCAGGGTACAGGGGCAGCTTGTGGGCACAGCCCTGCTCTGCTTCCTTCTGGTCTGTTAGGGACCCCAGGGACCTACTTCCACACTGTCCCCGCTGCACTGTGTAGCAGAGCCCAGGTAATGCTGGCTGCATTTGGAATGTGCCTCTCTTGGGGTATGAGATACAATGACAATGCTCCTACAAATGCCAAGCACACTAGAACCAGCCATAGTCAGCCAGCCTGTGAGCCCACTGACCCACTGTGCCATGAACAAAGTCTCAACAGTCTTAAGGAACTCTGTGGCACCCTCCCACTGTGGTTTAGCAAGTTATATTAACATCCCCATCAAATGATGTGTTTGCCTGGCTTGGTGATACACACCTTTAATCCCAGCTCTTGGGAGGCAGAGGCAGGAGGAACACTGTGAGATCAAGGCCAGCCTGGGATGGTCTACACAGCCAGTTCCAGACCAGCTGGGGCTACACAATGCACGGCCCTGTCTCAGAAAACCAAAAGAAATAAAAGAAAAATAGAAATTTGTCCTAAAGAAAAAAAGAAGGAACAGACTTTTCTTCCTCTCCCAGAAGCTCTTCTTTCTTGAGCAAACTGTGGCTCTAATTAATTTTTTATACTACGTGCACTACAGCTCCTTAGAGTATTTCTGCAAATTCTTCTGACACTAGAATTAAATTTTCTCACTCTTGCCTCCCTCTTCCCCTTGACTGTGAAAATGCGCACATACACGTGTCTAGAAACCCAATGTCCTCTGTGGCCAGACAACTCAGTGCCACAGTGAGACGTGCCAAGACAGAGTCTCTGGATGGCAGTCAAGAAGGGCTAGGGGCAGCAAAACGCAGCCCAGGGCAGAAGGCTGACCCTCCAAAGCATGGAAGCTGCATAGCATCTCTCTGATCCTCCTGCTTGTTTTCCCTCCTGCTCACCCAGATTTCTTGCCAACAGTGAAAGTCAAGGGCAACCACAGACAGAGGTTCTGCCACCTGTACCATCTCATTCCCTCCCTGTCCCCACCCTGTCAAGTCAACTTATGCCCCTTCATTGTCATGGAAAGTGTGCCTGGAGGCTGCCAAGTCCTTTGAGCCACCCAACAAAGAGTCTGAAGTGAATGGAATCTGAATCTGGCCCCTGAGGAACCCTGCTAGTCATCTGTGGAAGTGTCAACTAGGCAGAGGGTGCTAAGGAAATAAGGACATCACTGCTGTTCCTGGAAGGCGGCCTTCACACTGGCAGTCTGTCTGAGGGGATGTGGTGCAGTGGTGGACTTATTATAGAAGTAGTCCTCCTACCTCCTTGGGTCGGTCTACTCACCACCCCAAAGGGTCAACTGTAGCCTTCCCTGTCTGAGAAGCTCAGTTAAGGATCTCAAGAATAAGACTGGAGCAGAATTTCTATCAACTTTTAGAACAACTAAAAGAGCTTTGGAGACCAGACAAAGGTATCACTTTATGGTAGTCTTATATTAAAAACATCTCAAGGGCACTTGGGCTTTGGCCAGGCACATGTCAGCCTGGCTGAGTTCTAGGTGTACAGGTCCAGGGGACAGTGGCCTTCCCTGGTTCAACATCCAGTCATTCTAGAGGTTGTGAATCAAGTCACACAGCTGCTCTCATACAAATGACTGTTTAGTCAGTGAGCAGAGCTCTGGAGAGGGGATCCCCCAAGACAGGCTGTGGTTCTGAGGAGCAGGAAGGACAGGGTATCCAGGAGCAGGCCTTTAGAGATACCCTGAACAGAGACAGCCCTTTGCAAGCATTTCCCTGACACTTGGGATCTAAATGAGAACAGAGTACTGGCCTTGGTTTTAACCCCAGCCCCACCCCCTGGTGGTGCTGGGAGGAGACAGTGGGCCTCTGTTTCCCTATGTGAAATTACTATCGACCTGAAGCCTGCTCAGTTCAGTTTCTCCACCTCAACTGTCTTCTAGGGGATGGGGGTTGTGGGACTGGCCACACTCCATGTGCCTGTGGCAGGCTGGAAGGTCTTGCTGGGCTTGCACTTCTGCTGTTGGTGCCAACTGTCACCCAGGGATCAGAAAGGTTGTATGTCCAAGCCCTTTCACCCAGAAAATGTGCCAGACAAAACCAGCTTCAAAAGTACACGATACACTCTGATCCAGTGGAAAAAGCAATAAACTCCTCAACATATACCACAGTTACATCTCCACGAGCCCACTGTGAACTGAAACTGTAAGTCAAAAATCCATGGCTGGGTGTGGTGGCACACACTTTTAATCCCAGCACTCGAGAGGTAGAGGCAGGCAGACCTCTGTGTGTTTGAGGCCAGCCTAGTCTACATAGGGAGTTCCAGGCCAGCTGGAGCTACAGGGAAACCCTGCCTCAAAAAGACCCCCCCAAAAGTCTATCTCCTAACGCACAGCTTGGCCATGTACCCCAGCACACACTGCAGGGGGTCAGCTGTCCCCATGACCAGAGGATGGCTGCTGTGGCCCCCAGCATCAGGAGAGTGAGGAGAGCATCATTCACACACTGCTAGCCATGGAGAAGATCCCGGTTCAAAGTCCAGTTTCTATGACATATGGGCTGCTTTAATGCTGTCATAAATCTGTGCACTTATATACAACTCTGTGTGTGTGTGTGTGTGTGTGTGTGTGTGTGTGTGTGTGTGTGTGTGTGTAAGGCTCATTCATTTAACCATTTAGGTTAGAATTTTTGTAAAGTTAAGCAGGAAAACCATGTAGCTAGTTAATGGTTTTCCTTAAAAACTATATGTAGTTTCTCTTTAAAATGCTTTGTGGCATGAGGAGGAAAACAGACTGGGACGGAGTGATGTGAGGTCTCCAGAACACGCCTGACAGCAGCAGGCCCTCACTCAGGTGTGACACAGATAAGTATACAGTACTTACTGTCTCGATACTGCCAAAGCCCAGTATATGTGTCACCCTGTTCCACAAGCACAGCACCCCATGGGGCCCAAGAGCCGCACCTGTCTGCTGTCATTCTCCCGGCAGCCCTGCAGCCTGATGAGCGAGCCAGGTGCCCGGTCCACCACAGTAAGGCACAGGTCCATGTGCTTCACTGACTTCTCCTTTGTCAAGGCCCATTCCTGGAACAGACCACATGTCAGAGGCATGCCTCAAAATCAAAGAGCAATAATTTGGGGTATTAAACTTGGGACCCTGGGCCCATCTCGGAGCTAGCCAGCTGCTCCCCACTATACGGGCAAGCCTACACCTGGATGCTAAGCTGACCTTGGTAACAGTTATGGTTTGGTGGGAAATGTCCCCCACAGCCTAGTGTGTTTTAACACTTGGTCCCCAACTGGTAGTGCTGTTTGGGATGTGGCAGAATTTTTAGGAGGTGGGGCTTCTCTGCTTCCTGATGTCCTGGGATTGACCAAGGAGCTCATATTCTCACTGCTGTGCCTCCCCACCATGATGGACTGCACCCTCAAACCACAAGCCAAATAAGCCCTTCCTCCCAGAAGTTGCTTCTGTCAAGTACTTGGTCAGAGCTGCAAGAGAGGTGACCAATATAGTCATCATGATTAATTGTATCAAATATTTTAGCCCCAAATATAAGTTAGAGAGCCAGGTCAACTCTACTGTAATTCAGCCTAAGCCGCTAAGTGGCAGGCAGCTTGGCTGCCCAGAGTCCCTCCTGCTTTGTTTTGGAATGGCTCTCGGTTTGATGTGGAAGCAGGTTTATGAATGCAGGTTGAATCTGTGAAAATTCTAAACGATGTATTGCAGTTTTCAGCAAGTGTGGATTTGGAGCCTCACAGCACATGAAGAACACCCAGTTAGAGTCCTTGAATGCTGTGGCAACAGTCTACACATTCATACCAGCACAACTCTTAACTGAGCCGTCTCGAGCTCTTTCACAAAAGCCACATGAGAAGCTATTATTCCCACTTTACAGATATGAAAATTTGGCCAGAATGCATTTAAATATTCTTGTCTATGTCTTTAAAAAGTCAACCCACATATATGCATATGTACACACAGGACAGGGCTAAGTCAACAACAGCTCTGAAAACTAAACAGGATTGTGTAAAAGCACAAGGGCCTGGGGAAAGAGAGGGGGGTGACATGGTTCCAGGTGGTGTCGATGAGGTGAAGACCACTCTATGTAGGGTCATGGTGGGCCAAGAAGTTAGCACCTCCCACAGTCACTCAAGAATTTGACCCATTTAAAGGGATAGCTGCCCACAAAGGATCTCCAGGATCCAGAAGTGGAGACCTTCCTAGCACAGCAGCCCACAGGCACACTGAGTTGACACAGCTCTTCTGCCTAGGCCCTGCAGATTGCTACAGCTCCTAATCTCTCCTCCAGTTCCAATGACACCCCTCCAGGCCCCAGCACTGGGGTCATTCAGTGGGGAAAACAGAGGATGTGTGAATACATTCTGTAGCTTTCAGCATTGTAAGCACTACAAAGATTAACTTTTCTTTTACAGGCCACAGGGAAAGGGTAAGAAACAATCACTGAAGAGGCCTGAACCACATGCCTGAACCACAGTAAACAAGTGGTCTGCTAGCAGCAAGACACTGAAACCCTAAGTGGGCAGTGCTTGAACAAGGCCACCGCTAGAACATGTCTCTACCTCTCTGAGGGGGTGCAGAGAGGCTGGGGATGGGGTGGTGGTGGTACAGGGGGTAGGGGAGACAGAGGGTGGGAGTACAAGGGGTGGAGACAAAGGGGGACAAAGACTGGGGCAGGAGAAGTGGGAGCAGGGGCAAGGGAGTTGGGGAAAGAGGACCGGGTGAGACTGGAGGCAGGTCAGGCTGGGAACACAAGGGCACAGGGATAGGGGTTTAAGAAGGGAAGTTCAAGGTGTTGGGGCGGGCACCCTGAGTGTCTTCCCCATTCCTGCACCTTTTCCTATCCGTCCCTCCATCCAGCTATTCCTGAGTTGTATCCTTTTATACAAACAGGTAATCCAGTGAGGTGATTGTTTCTGTGAACTGTTCTAGAAAATGACTGAATCTTGGGGGGGAGCTGCCAATTTATAGAGGGACCCCAATTTATAGAAGCTTGTCAGAGCACCTGGACATCTGGACTTTGAACAGGTGTCTTGTGTGACTGAGCTCTCAATCTGCAAGTCTGTACTGATCATGCCTGGGCAGTCAGGGTCAGGATGGAGCTGAGACTGTCTGATAGGGGAAGTGGGGATTCCCAGGCCAAGGAGTGAAGGTTGTATGAGAATGGAGTGCTATGATTTGTATATGAAATGTCTCCTGTAGACCCTGTGTTTGAACATGTGGTCCCCAATTTGTGCTACTGTTTTGGAAGGCTATGGAGCCTTTAACAGGTGAAGCCTTGCCGGAGGAAGTATGTCACTGGGGGCCCAAGTTGCAAATGGAGGCTTCAGGATGCTGGAGAGGCAGGGACCATGGGACACTGAGGAAGGCTGCAGGCATGACAGAGCTGGCTCAGCATGGCTACTGCCCACCCAAGGCTATGGGAGTCCAGAAGATTCCATTAAGAGCCCCACGTGCCCAGGTGCTTGGCCCCCATTCTTCCCTTTTGAACAGGCATGTTTACTTTGTGCCACTGCATAACTGCATTAAGTAACATCTTAGAAGAGACTCGGGCTTGGGGTGGGCCCTTTGTTAGCCTGGCACCATTTTTTGTCCACTCTCTGCTTCCAGACTGTGGGCATGGTATGATGAGCTGCCTCATGCTTGTACATGGTGAAGGGCTGCATCCCATGGAACTGGGAGTCAAAACCCTCCTTCCTCCCTTAAGTATTTTTCACTGCAATGAAGAAAATAACACCCAGAGTTTCAGCTGTTTTTCCAGCGTGTCAGCAGGCGAAATGCAGAGGTGCGGCTGGGTAGATGCAGTTGGGTGCCCCTGCTACACCATGGCTCCAGGATGTGGGAGTTCAGGACCCTCCTACCCCCTCCACTCTATGCTAATCACAACCTGTGTGGAGGTGACAGCTGGAAATACGGCCACTTGCAGTCAGAGTCTTGGGGACCTCCAAGCCCCTCAGGTTTCCACCATCTTCACAGCAGGTGTGAGGTGCATGGCTGGTCAGTGGAGAGCACATGCAAATGTGTCTTCCATCATTTCAATATTGTGTATTTCATTATTTTAAGAAGGGTAAGACATTGAATTCCAAAAACCCAAAGGCCAATTTGGCTGTGCAAGCAACAGAGCTGGATGCCTCTCTGCTGGGTCCTTTTGTGACCTGAATTTGTAAAATGCAGTTCATAAACATTTAAGAACTGCTTGTGTAGGCTGTCACCCTTAAAAAGGGTGGCCATTACGGGGCTGGAGAATGGCTCAGTGCTTAAGGGCATCGGCTGCTCATCCAGAGGATTCAGGTTGGATTCCCAGCACCCACATGGCTGCTAACAATGGTCCGTAGTTCCAGTTCTAGGGGACCCAGTGCCCTCTTCTGGCCTCTGTAGGCACTGCACAGCATGGGTGCACTTAGATGCAGGCAAAGCTCTCACACATATAAAAATAAATTGTAAAAGTGTGGCCATTAATTCTCTCATTTCCTGTGTGCTTCTGAGGCTGAGCTGGAAATCAGATAATAGCTCCCCACTTCCCTACTTCAAGGGCCAGCCTACACTTAAAGCCAGGAAATATCACTTCCCACCCACACAACCCTTGACCCGAAAAACTTCACTCTCCAAAAAGCTTCACTGGGTGGGCTACAAGTGGGGACAACTGGTGTCATTTTGCCTCTAGGTCCTCCCTCTGTTCTAGAGCACTAGCCACCAGTCACGCATGAAAGCTTGCATTTAAATTCAGTAAGATTGACAATTTAATTCACATGAGGCACATTTTAAGAGCTCATAACCAAAGGTGTCTGATCGCTGCTGTTGGGGTCAGTGCAAGTCTAGAACATTCCTGGCACAGTACATGAATCCAGCAGCACAGAGAAGGAGGGAGCTTATAGACTGCAGGTGGGCCTATGGGGCAGGATATCCTAAACACCAAGCCAAATACCAAGCTAACCACTAAATCTGTCAAGGATCAGAGTCCAACACCTACCCCAGCTGCCCCCAGCCCTGCCAAGGCCCAGGTAGAAGCCCTTCTCCCTCCTCCTGTCTCAAGCCAAACAGCTGTGGAAACTGAGTTCTGTGGTGTCTGGAGACTGTGGCCTCCCAGGCTACCTGCTTGGGGAAGGGGATGGGGGGATCTGTAGCAGCCAGCCTCACTTCTGAGCAGGCGTCCTTAAGAATGCTTGTTAAAGAAGGGTCTGTGACACAAGCACCAAGTGAGCTGCCTTCTAAAGCTGCAGGCCTCTCAGAGGCATCCAATTTCCCATAGACACAAGTGCAGAGCACTACCAAAACACCCTGTCCATTAAGCCCACGCTTCACCAAATGCCTGTTGTTATCTTGTGAGAAAACGACCTTAGGAGCCCACAGGTCCCTGCTTGGCCTTGATTTAAGTCTCTTTTTTTCTGACGGCAGAGATGTGCATATGGTGGGGAAGGTGTGTGTGTCAAACTGAAGCAACTGACATTACAATTGTATCTTGTAACTTAATCTACTTCCCTCTCACGAGCAGGGACAAGAACTTAGCAGCAGTGTGGGAAAAGAAGCAGCTGCCAGGGTGCCACACTTCCCGTGGGAAGAAGCAGTCTGCTCCCTGTGGGAGCATCAGGCGTGGATCCTCAAACAAAAAAGGCCGAGGCTGAGCACCTGCTAGTTCATGCCACATTAGGGACAAATACAGATGCAGATGCAGGTTTGGTGCTCTGAAGTAGACAGAACAGGGAGGACAGAGCTGGCAGAAGAGGTCACAGCCTGGACAGTGGATGCCGATGTCACCTCCAGCCAGTATAGCCTGTGCCATTGCAGCAGAGCCCAAAGCTGATGAGTGGCTCAGGATATCATTTAAAACCCAGGACACCCCAGCAAGTCTGAGGCAGCCAGCAGGGTCAGGGCTTTCCTTAAGAGTCTCAGGATTCCATCCCTTCCTCTCTGGGCCTGTTGGTACAAGCATGTTATGTACCTACCTGGTTTCCCCCAGCATTGTGACACTCATAAATTCCAACGACCCCATCAGCGAAGTGTCCCAAGGTGTCAAGGCAGTTGGTTCCTTGCTGCAAGGCCCCAAAAGCTATGTCCTGATGGTCTGGAACCCTGAAAGGCAGCAAGTGTCATGGTCTCCTCGGCAGCCTGCACTTCCTGCTCACCAAGCCCTCTGCACGTGGCCTCAAATTGGGCAGTGGAAACAGGTCCCATCCCAACATGGCAGGGCTACGGCCTCAGGATTTCCAGCACTGTGAGTGCACCAGGAATGGCGGCACACACTTGTAATCCCAGCATTCAGAAGGCCGAGGCAGAAGGATTTGTTAAAGTTTGAAGCCAGCCTGGGCCACAGAGTGAGATCCTGTCTCAAAACAACAAAAAAGATCATAAGTGGGAGACGTTTTCTTCATGTTCTGGTAGGGAAAAGCTCCTGACATGCTGGATGTCACTTAGAAAGACACTCATAGGGAGTCAGGTCTGATGCCCTGAACTTTCCAAAAGACTGACACTTTTGCCCAGCAAGGGAGAGTCTGTGGGATTGGTTGAGTAGCCTAACAAAAGAGATAGGACTTCTGCTGCCCCACCTTTGAGAGGCACTGGCTGTGGTGAGCCACGTAAGGGTCACACTATAACCTCCACTGGCTCTCCTGTGTGGAAATGACTCAATGGGTCTCCTGCAAGCTTGACAGAAGCATCTTGCATAAGGCCCTCAGAGCTGTGCCTGCCTCCCAGGAAGCACTGGTAAATGGGTGATAATCAGACACAGAAAGAGGAACATAGGACCTCTTCTTGCCTGCAGACAGGGGAGCAAGCAGGGTACTGAATGCCTAATATGTGGTCCTCAAAGGGCACAGGGCCCAGTGCCACCTCCTTCATAGATAACCTCAGTTAGAATCATATTTCACACCACTCTGGCAGAGTGACAATGAAAACAAAACAAAGTGGTTCACTGTGGTGATAAAATCTCTGTGGGAGGGCACCAGTGGGAATATGTGGGCCCCTCCCCTCTTCCTCCTGGAGGCAGCCTCATCTATCACTATAAAAGCAGAGGAAATGGCTTCAAAGATCTGAGGAAGGCAGCAAACTGGAGGTTCTTAGAATAAGGATGCTTTACGGGAGGCTTAGCCTGCTTGCCTGGGCCTCAAAGATGAGGAAGGCTCAGCTGCACCTGATACCTGGAGGCCTACTGGTCCTCTGCTGGAACCACTGGTGCCCTCAGGACACAGAACTCCTGACAGCACAGCTCACAGGGGTGGGTGTGAAAGACAGGCTCAGCACAGTGATTCTGCCACTCACCCTCCAGAAGGCAGGTACCACCACTGCAAACCTCATCTCACACACTGCCTCCCCACACTAAGAGGAACTGAGGGGTCGGGTGGACACTGGAGCAGGGCTCATGGGGAGACACAGCCCCTGTCTTACTTGTCTATTACCAATAGGGAATGAATCAAACCAAGGGTGCTTTGGGATTCTCCAAGGCCCACAGAGCAGGAGGGTAGGGTCTGGAGCCACCTGTGGGCTGGGATTATGCATTCCCCCTGGAAGCCCAGCTCCCAGCCTCTTGCCCACAGCAAGCACGAGGCCTCTGCAGCCTCCTTAGCTGTCTCTGCTCCTCAGTTCTCACAAATGCACTCAGACCCCCAGGACTCACCTGAGCTCTGGGTACACACTGTCCAGGTACCACTTAAAGGGCTTGCAGCCCAGCTTCTTCCTGAGCTCCAGCCTGCTTTGAATACTGGATGAAAGAGAGACACATTCAGGATGGATGGCTTTATATGTCAGTCCTCAACACTGGTAAGAAAGAGGTGGCCCAAGTGCTGTGGCATGGACTGTCTAGACTCTGGTACCCATGATCCTTCCCGCCTCCCACCAGGACCTGGCTAGCCCAGCAGAGGCTGCTGTCAGCACTGGGGGAGGTCTCCACCTGTCCCTAGAGTCCCTGTCAGCATGAGAAGGCAGATGACACTCACTTTCCGAAGGGTACATTTCGGGCAGAAGGCACCGCTGCATAGTAGAAGTTTTTGTATTCGTCCATCCAGACCTCGGCTGCCCGGCGGGTGTTCCTGAAAACAAATAAGCTTCCCTGAGCTATGACTTCTGTCATCCCAGAGTCACTTGTCTGTTGGGAGTGTTAATGAGGGCAGTCCCCTAGAACGGTCTGGGGAACAGCGGCCACCTGGGGGTCTGTGGGGTGGTACTCAGCAGAGCCCGAGGGACTACTCACAGCACAAGTTATCAGAGCAGAGATGGAAAGACAGCACAGGCAGGTGCCCAAAAGATGTGTCTGCTGTGCCTTGGAGGACAGAAGAGAGCGAGTTAAAAGTATCTCGCACTGAATGTTCAGGAGGGCTCTCCTCTGAGACTACGATGGGAGACTCTGGTCTCCCCAATCTTCTCCAGCACAGGAGGCTGCACTAGCACACTGGGAGAGTGAAGCAGGTTCCTTTAATTTCACTTTCTTTCCTGTGGACCTCAGCTGAGGGACAGTCACGTATGGGATAGAAATTACAGCATAAAGAAGTGGGAGCAGCATACCCATACCCCAGGTCTGGGTCCCTGATGCCCCCATCTCCAGTGCACCAAGAGAGCTTTTCTTTTAATCTATCTTTCTTTTCCTTCCTTCCTTCCTTTCTTTCTTTCTTTCTTTCTTTCTTTCTTTCTTTCTTTCTTTCTTTCTTTCTTTCTTTCTTTCTTCTTTCTATTTCTCATGAGACAGGGTCCTGTAATAGAACCCAATGTGGCTTTAAATTCATAATCCTCTTGCCTGAGCAACCCTGCCTACTAGGGGTGTGTCCTGGGCTCAAGGTGGCTCTTTTATAAAGGAAAAAAAAAAAACCACATGCCCTGTTCTCTTTGTCATGATATAGAGCTGTGATTCATGGTAAGGCCCTGGGACAAGCTTATGTGCATGGCATGTACCAAGAGCCACTGTAAGCGCAGACACCAGCAGCCCCTCTGCTTAGATCAGGAACCAGGACCCACTCTCGGGTACACATGGCCCATCCTGCGCTTCCATGATGAATACAGCAGGTGGGCAATAGTCGCCTCTTAATAATTTTTCTCTGCAGAAAGGTCTTTTAAAGGCTGAATCTGTCACACTGCCTGAGCTGTAATTACTAAAACCATTTCCACGTGGGGCCTCCATCTTCCCTATAAAGTGACAGATGCATCTGTCATCCCTGAATTGGGGGTGGGGGAGATCCCTGTTTAGAGTGACATGAGAGACAAGAGCCTGTAAATGTCTCTACTCTTGGATTCTCAGTGCTAACCCTAGAAATATACTCAAGGAGAAGGCCAGGAATGAAATCTATGTGAGAATGTCCTCATTTCAGCAATTTATGATGGAAAGATCTAGCAACTGTGGTGGCTGACCGTGGGGTGCATGCTCATACACGTGTAGGTTTGTGCATTGAGAGATGCCCAGACGACTGAAGTAAACCACAGGGTCTCTGGTCTGTGACCAGAAGTGATTAGATTGAGAAAGCTCTGATCTAACAATGCCCAAATTCCCTTGTGAGATCACAGTACAGCGGCATTATTGGGAGGTAATGAAAGGTAAGGCGTGTGCCCTGCTTGGAGCAAGGGAGCTGCTCGGGGTGTGTTCATGGGCTGCATCTGTCCTGACCTTTCTGTATTCATCCTGTGTTTCCTGTTTGCCATGTGGTGACCAGCCTCTTCACAGGACCTTGCCTCACGTCAGCCCCAGTCAACTGATTATGGACTGAGCCCTCTGAAACCATCTGTAGCCACGGCCTCTGATGCTCCCTGGGATCACTCCCCGGGATCTCATAGGCTAGGCACACTCCATCTCAGGAGCATGGATCTGGCCTTCCTGCAGAGTGCTGTTCCTGGGGTCCCAGAGTAGCCTGTTCCCACCTTTCAGATCTGGACTCTTGTGCCACCTCCACAGAGTCCCTCCAGGTACACTGAGCCTTGCAAACCCAGCCCTCTGCCTTATTCCAGTCAGTCCAGTTAGTTCATTTCCCTTTGGCACTGACCAGCTCAGCATCTGAAATGACCTTGCTGGGCCTATGAGTTTTTCTGTCTGAGAGGGAAACCCCTGTGAGGTCAAATACTATTTAACTTTAGCATGGGAAAAGATTCCCAGGAAAAACCAGGTCAAACCAAGAGGTTATTCACTCTTTTTATTCATTTACTGAACATCTATTGCTGATCACTAATCACAGTTGTGCACCGTGATGTCTTTTTGGCTGGAGTGCAGAGCAGCTTCCCTTCCACTGTGGTTTCAATGTCTGCCATTCAAAGCTCATGCTGAAATTTTGTAGCAGCTAAGAAGCTGGAGCTTCAAATGGTGGTCAGGCCACAGGGGTTCTGTCATCTTGGGACTGGGGCTGTTCCTTCATGCCATCCTCCTCCTCTCTTACCTTCTACTATGTGGGGCACCAGGATAGTCCTCAGTAGAGGTTGGCATGTTGGCCCCACATGTCCCAGCCTCCAGGACCATTATCCAAAAACCCTGTTGTTTATAAATGACTTGGCCAGCAGCACCTGTCACTGCAGCATGTGGTCGAAGAACACAATACTGTTCTTACTTGACTATGAGTGGTAATACTAATAAAAACAGATTTTCTCCTTTGAGCTGTTTCCCATAACATCTTTTGGGGTGCATCTCAGGTGACTATCACAATGCAGTCTTTCCCCAGCATCCCTCATCCCTCACCCACAGTGGCCACATCTGCCTACCCACCAGCACTGTTTTTCTGAGACTACCACTCAGCATGCTGAGACAGCTTCTCTCAGTGGAAGACCCCATTGCGTGCCAGCCACTGCTCCTTTCCACAGCTTTTGGGCCATGCCTATCAAAGCGCACTGCCCCCATCTGGCCCCAGGTATCTCTTGAACAGACAGCAGCCCCCTGCTTTGGCTTCTCACTACTTACCGGGCAAAGACAGTGCCGCTGCCACCTGGGAATGTGTAGGGGTGCTGCTTCCGAAACACGTGTCCCACACGGCTGCATGGGATGATCTCCAGGCTGCCACCACACTGCCACACGCGGAATGAGATCTCTGATGAGAAGGAGACTCGGTGACCATTGGAACTGGGGTGGCTGCCCTGTCACAGCTGTCGTCTCCATGGCATAGCTACCCCGGCCCTAGCCACCTACCGTGGCTCACTCTCAACTGCTGAGGGAAACCAAGGGCCCGCTTCTCCAGAACACCATACACAACTTTTTATGGCAGAGACACTGGACCCATCCCAGATGGGCCAACTCCAAAGTACAGCAAAGAATGCCTTGAAAAACCCTAGATTTGGGACAAGAAGCTTCTAGACAAGGGTGCTGGAACTGATACCATCCAGACTAATACCACAAGAGCATGGAATGCCTCTCTGGTTGCTCAGAACCATGTAGCTTAGAATAGCCGTCAGAAGGCACTGTGAAAGGTCTGTGCACACCCACAATTGAGCTTTACTCCCGGGGTCAAAGGTGGCTCCACAGACCGCTTTCCTTAGCTACTTACTATCAACTGACTGAGTACCAGAATGCACTGGGCTTTCCTATCCACTAAAGAGTCCCTCCCTATTGTCCTCATGTATCAGCAGGCCCAGATTCCAACCTAGTTCCTTGGGTAGTGACCAAGGACAATTGGGTTACTGATGGCACCTCACAGCTGCCCACACTTACAGTCGAGAACTTGCTGGTCAGGGCAGGAGTACTCAAAGGAGGCCACCACTCACCTGTATCAGCAGAATGGGCCGTAGGAGTGACAGATACCTCATATCTAGGTATCTTTCCAGGTGGGGGCTTGATGCACCACTAACTGACTACTGACCTGCTACAACATAGGATTTTAATCTAGTCATGTGTCCTAACCACAACACACTGAACTTAAAAAGAAAACTCAAAGCCTCACTCTGCATGAGAATGGCCACTGCTTGTCAGTGTCCAGAATTGGTCAACGTGGCTAAATTGAGACAGGTTATGCATCACAGTAAGTGTACTACAGTGGTGACAATGAGACCTGTAACATTTTGAAAAAGAAAAAAGGAAAAAGAAAAACCAAGTGCTGTTCTGCAAAACACCACGAGGCCTGTAAGAGCTTGTTTGGGTCACTGGACACCCCTCAGTTCAGGTTGGAGTAAACAAGAAATCTACAGAGCCAGTGTCACAGATCAGAAACGAGGTGGGGACGTTGCGCAGACTGTGAAGTCAGTGGACGGCTAGACCTAGACCAGCATATTGACATGGCAGGAAGTGCTCAGAATACCACTTGGTCAGTGCAGACTGGACCCCTGCCTGGGGGACAGGACAAGTTAATGTCACAGGAACAGTTCCCTCAGAGAGAACGGGTGACTGTGACACAGTTACAGACTCTATTACCAGTTCCCACACACGGTGTGTGGTGAACCTCACCCGAAAAGACATACCAAACGCATGCAGAGGCTGCTGGGGGACTTTCAGGGTGGAGCACACGGCAGCTCCCTTCAACTCTGAACCAAGGACAACTGCTCCGTATGGCCTGTGGCAGTCAGGGTTTGCATCCTGGCCCTACCCTTGGCTTGTAGACTGGGCAAGGATTGTGGTCTCCATAGGCTTCTCCTTTAAGGACACAGGCACTAGTAGTACATAGCACCCTCCCTAATACCACCAGGACTAGTCTGAAGGATAGCCCTGTCTCACCACACATCTCACTGGAACCTTTGCCCCCTTGGCTACTGTTTTCCTATATAAGGCTCTATTGGTCAGGAAAACAGGCGCTCTTGTCATGAGGGCACATATGGAAGAGGCAGCTTGGCTGTTTCTCAGGCATCCTTATTCTCCACCCCACATCACAGCCACCAATCCCATGTGGGCTAATAACTGCCAGCAGTGTGTGTGGCACCCAGAAACAGAAGCAGAGAGCAGGGCTCTGCAGAGAGTGGATTCATACCCTAGACCTTGTAGCCTTGCTCAAACTCCGCTCAGTCTCTACATGTCCTCACAGGGAGCCAGCCAGGGGACCAGATGACATCAGACCTCTTGGAAGGGATGGGCTTCTACCCAAGGGTCTTGCCTTCCCAAACCTCCTCAGGTCATAAAGTAGAGCACAGATAAAAGCCCAGATGACAACAAGCCTGTCCTTTCCTCTCTCTGAGCTCCAGGCCAGATGAACTACAATCAACCTTCTACAGGGTGACAGACAGGAGGCTGGCTGAACATGTCTGCCTACCTCTGCTCTCAGAACCACATGGGCTCTTGGGAAGTGGCTGCTTGAGCTCATGACATATGCTGCCTCACAAGGTGGTCATTGCCCCACAAGGTAGCCTCTGTTCCATGGGATGACCCCAGCGTCTTGGAACCCATGGTGCAAGGGCTCAGGGACCTCTTGGGTTCACTATCCTGAAGCCTTTCTCACTCACAAGACTTGCCCAAGCCTACCCAAGGAGAACATGTCACAGGAAAGGAGACCAACTGATGGTCCCTCTCTTCCCTGCAGTGCCGAGTGAGTCGGAAGCAGCTTTTCATCATGCTGGGCAGGGGCATCCTCCCAGATGAAACATCGCCACCAACTTCAACTTCAAAAGAGACAGATGAACGACAGGCTAGCTGAGGCTGTTCTTTTAAGTCAACAGAAACTATCAAAGTCTCTGTCACAAGAAGAACTACACAAAGTGACAGCGGTGTCACTTTCTCTCCCTCATCGCCCTCTTCCCGGGGCACACCTGTGCAAGGACGAGAGAAACTTAACTCTTGATAGCGAGGAGAATCAGCTCTGAATGGCAAGCACTTGAAAATCAAAGGCTTCAGGTCAAACAAGAAACAAAACCAAAATAACTGAGAGCCTTTTCTTCTGTCATGTAAGACACTCCAGGCTGCTCCTGTGCAGACCACTGAAAAAAGTTTTCATTCTTGGGCAAAAATGATTGCTATTTAAAAAAAATTAGAACCATTCCAAAAAGTGCAAAACTAGCTGCAAAGTTCTGAATGCCAGGGCCTACCATGTGGTGTCCATGATTAAGATTTGGTCAGCCCAGCAGCAGCCAGCCACATTCCCACTGTACACAGCTAACTAGAGCCCTGGAGTTGCTGTGTCCTGCCAGTTTTGGAGGCATGCATTCTGAGCACCCAAGTCAAATGATGTGACAGTGTCTGGTTTCTCTCTGGTTTCTGTCCAGGGAGGACCTGAACCCTGACACATGGGACGAATCAACCGCTTGGTCTGAGTGAGTGTGTGTGCCTATGTGTATGTCTGGTCTGCCCACTGAATGGTTGCTTTGAATGTTATTGGTTGGCACCCACCTCCCACACTTCACTGCAGCAAGGTTGGCAGACTTAAGGCATGGAGGGATCATACATACCCAGGTTCTCTCCTCCCCATACATCCATCATCATGTCATATTTCCCCAGCTCTTCAAAATAGAGCTTGTCCATCACAAACAGCCCGCCAGCAATCATGGGGGTTCTGGTGAGGGAGAGGAGAGCAAGGTCAAGGTTAGATCTGTAACACAGGTTGACCTTCCCCCTCTTCTGTGCTGTGGGGGCTGCTCATTCCCCACTGCCCCATCTTGCTACCTGGGGCCTTATGGTGCCAGGGCTAGACAGAGCCTCTCGTACAGAGTTGAACAGAGTTGGGACCCTTTCTGTCCTAGCTGAGGTATTTGGCTTTTCTGTGTCTCATCCTTATGTGGTAATTATAAGAACTATGAAAGGTAACACTTGAGGCTACAGCTTGAAGATCCACCGTGCTATGGAACACTGCACCATAAACAGGAGGCAACAGAATAGCAGAGATGCTGTGTCAGCAAGTGGCCTTCTCTGAGAAAAAGAACCTCAAATTCCTTCATTGTGTGACCTGGTGGCAGGTGCTGGCCTTGATGGAAGGTACAGTGTCTGGGCAGCCTGGGGCTATAGGAGTCAGAGTCTGGGCTGTCCCCCACGAAGGCTCTCTGCAGCACACTGGCACTTACTTTATGGGGGCAACTGGGTTCCCCTGCCGGGACCGCCTCTGCTCTGGTGTCATGTAATCCCATTTGAATACCAAGTTCCAGTCAAAACCTGTTGGCCAAGAAAAAAGAAATGCAATGAGGAAAGATGGCCTCTCACACCAGACCCTTGCAGAGTGACAATGGGGACATGTGGGTGGAGACTGTCAGTCAACCAACCAACCAGCCAAAATGAGGATGTGGAGGGGAGAGGGAGCAATTGGGGTGATGGGGCGGGCTAGGGAAATGGGAGGGAGAGGTTGGCACTGCAATCTTTCCAACCTTTTAAAGCATGGGTCTGCATATTCATTCACTTGCCCTCGCCCTCTCCCCATCTCTCTCCCTCTTCCTCTCCATTTGTCTCTCTCTGGACATAGGGTTTTGCTATGTAGCCCAGGTTGGTATTGAACTTGCAGCAATCCTCCTACCTCTGCCTCCTGAGTGCTGAGATTACAAGCATGTGCCACCATGCCCAGCTAGGATTTTCTAAGATGAAAACATGCAAGAACAAATGTGAAATGTGAGGACTAGCATCCATGCGCAACACTACCACACCTGCAAGGGCTGCAAGATGCGAAGAAGAGTGCCCAAGATTGGGGACTTGGGGACTAGTCAGAGCAAGATGAACCACAACTGGCTCCCAGGCCCACACTGCAGCACGGAGCACCTCTGTGGGACGCATGCTCTCTAGGATCAGGACCTTTTGAGGCTCATCATGTTACAAGTGCTACCATACTGACATAAGATTTTATATGCTAGGCATGGTAGTCCAGGCCTATAATCCCAACGCTCCAAAGGACTGTCAAGGCAGAAAGACCTCGGGTTCTAGGCCAGCTCAGTCAAACAGTGAAACCATATCTCAAAAAGCCTGTCATCCACCCTACCCCTTGATAGTTGTGGAGTTAGGGGGTTGCTGGACAAGGGGTTGGTAGAACCTGTATGTGATAGTGTCTTGACCTTAATGTCTAATGAAGCTCTCCTCCCATCCAGAAAGCACTGGGGCCTCAATAATTCTTAAGGAGCTAAAGAGAATCTTGTACTAATTGCTCTTAGGGCCCTGTAAGGGGGGTCAGAAGGTCACACTGGGAGGTTGTGATGCCTCAAAAGACACTGGTTCATTCATACAAACAAAAGGTCACCCAGGGGTGGAACAGACTATGAGTGGGTGGCTGGGGAGGAGGAGCCAGCATCCAAGCTGAGCACAAAGGCAGGACTGGCTAGGCAGATGGTGAGAGGGCATGCTAGGTCTCCACTTGGGACCACAGGGCAGCACAGGCCTCATGGGCTACCAGAGGAAGGGCTTGATGGGCAGAGGACATGCAGGCAGGCTCTAGGCCTCAACTCCACAAAATCTCAGCTCTACAGAGTATCTAAGTCCTGTCTCTTGGCAGCTCTGAGCCTCCCAGCGAGGGGCTCATCCACTCCAATCAGCAGAGACACTACAAGCTCCCCAAGCCTCCAGGATGTAGTAGATCAGAGAAAGAGAAAGGTAGGAATAGAGGTGGGGGGGTGTTTCTTCTGGGCAAGTAAGGTCTGGTTCCCTCTGTGGGGTCCCAGTCAGAGTGCACACTTCAGTGTGAACTCTATTGTCACTGTCACTGCTGACCACAGGACACCAGTGATCAGAGACCTGGCCAGACAGAATAAACCAGCAGGTAGACCAACCATGGCTGATACCTACCACCCTTGAGGTCAGCAGAGGCGCCCACGTACTGGAAATTGTCCATGTTAATGACATCGATGATGGGTGACACGACCCGGGTCCTATCCTGAGCAGGGACAAAAGAAGGAAAGAATATTTGTCATAACCCCAGCAAAGCAAGAGCTCACCTACCCCAGAAGGCCTCCTCACTCAGACACTGTTGGGGCAAGGTGGGGAGGGAGTGATGGCATGACATGGGCATGTCTGCCACCTGGTTACCCACTAGAGGCATGGGCCACAGTGGCCCTGGGTTAATGCCCACATTCCAACTATGGGTAGATTTCACCACCACAGAAGCTAAGCTCAGCCATGCTCAAAGCAAGTCATCTACTGGTGAGTTGCAGCCAGCTCAGGAACAGACTCATAGCTGAAGTGCCTACACCACAGAGCCAGGAACAGTTTCTGGGTACAAAGGGATGGATGATATCACTACCTCTAGGGCACCCGACTTGAGGTTCCAAATCCTAACTTGCCTTTCCTGTGATTCTACCAAGCACATCTGCCTTCCACTGAGCCATTTCTTCAGGTCACACTGCCACAGTGCCTTTGATCTTCTCAGATCTTTAAACTCGGATCTGCCTCATGTGAGCAGGGTGTTTCTTGAGTCACTGAGAGAGTACTTGTTAGCAGAGGACAGACTCATATAAATCTCAACAGCAGGACCAGCACAGCTCAGAAACACTCCTTTAGGATGGTCCTACCCTGCCAACATGCAGCTTAAAAGGAAACAAGCTTCAAGCTTCTGGCCTCGGAGACCAGAGCAGCAACTGTGGTACCCAGGTCAGGCTGGCCCTGGATATGGGAGGCAGAGACTAACCTCCTTTACATTCTGTCTGCAGAGAAGAGAATTCCAAGGTCATCTTGGCCTGCTCCCTCCTCAGCTCAGGAGGTTGTACGTGGCGACACCTCCCACTGAAATCTGGTGGCCCATGAATCTCTAACATGGAGGGACGCTAGGACTCATGTCAGGTTCTTTGACATAGGTGGGTGTGTGAGGGGACCAAGAAGGGTTCAGTGGAAACTGAGCCACAATCTTGCCACCTACATGGTTTCAGACATGTTACCAAAGTTTCCTGCAGCCCAGTTTCCTCACCTGTCAGGTGAGGGGGTGACACCTGTGGTACTGGTAAGGCTTCGATGAATTGCCAAATGTGTCACCTGAGTCCAATAAGGGGCAATAATCAACCATCACCAGCTTTTGGTGATTTAGCATTTTGTGACTTGCTGCCTGTTGCAAGTTGCTGCTTATTGCCTTGCTATGCAGCAGACAGAACAACTCATTCCTTCTCTACTTTCTTTCATTAAGTGCTTCATCGCCTCCAAGGAAGCACTTTCATAGCAGCAAAGAAAGTCAATAAGGCAAGCAGAGGGCAAGAGAAATAACATAGGGCCAAACATAGTAGCAGTGGTGATATGTCTGGAAGCCAGGTGCCTGAGTATGACCAAGGATCACCTACCAGCCCTGCTAGGGCACTGTGGTGACCACTGTATACTGCCCTGAAACAGCCAGCTAGCCTGTCCTTACTTGAGGCAGAGGGACACCAGTGTCACTGTATCCACCTCCTAGCCTGCCTCCCAGACATCCCATCATATGGCACTCCTAGGAACAGGGTGCTAGGCGAGCCACATGTCTTCCAAGCTCCCAGAGCTGAGCACGAGCTGCAGGTGAGGAAGAAGGGTGCTTCTCAGTGAAGGCTGCTTCTGCCTTCCAGGCTCCCACCAGCTGTGTGGAGCCTATCTCCTGCCAGTCAAGTGACTGTGCTCTGTGGATGAAACACTATGAAGTAATGTCTAGGGGCATCAGGACAACCTGCAGCCAGTGTGTGCTGCGTACCCTCACCACATCCCAAGCTCACCTCAGAGACCCGTTCCAATAGCGGCTCCAACCAGCGCTCATTACACTCACAGTGGCTGTCCAGAAATGTCAGGACCTTGGCTTGGGCAGCATCAGCACCCCGGACTCGTGAGCGCATTAGGCCTGTGGGAGTGAGTTCAAAACACGTTAGAGGAGAGTGCCCTGCATCATACTGCCAGCAGCTTCCATGTTCCCCACAGAGCAGCTCCATGTCAACTGCCTGGGTGGATCAGCACTACTCCACAGCCACTGGGGCAGATTCCCAGCAGGCCTTTTAAAACTACTAATCTGATGATAGGAAGAAAGCTTTCTTAAATCTACTGTGTCCTGAGAAAAGTCTTCACCTAATGGAAATCACCTTTGTCAAGCGCCCAAAACATTGAAAGGACTTTCCTCTGGCATGACTACTGTTCCCTACTTAGCTGGGATAAGGAAGGTGTCACCCCATACCCTGAGAGTTAACAGTGTTAGGTCTGGTGGCTGTAACACCTGCAAGGGCACTGCAAAAATCTTAATCTCCATAAGCCACGAACACCAAGTCTGAGCCCAGCTATCTGGCTGTGATGTAAAGTCAAAGCCATTCACAGGCTTGTGATCTTGTGACACCTAGCTTCATTATGCCCCAACCTCATCGCTGGCCACAAATCAACTCTGCAAGGCTTTCATCAAACACAGTTTACTTGACCAGTGAGAACAAGTGTGTTGAGTTCCTTCTTACACAGTCAAAATGAGTTTCCAATGACTCTTACCACCTGTGTGCTACAGCAAGGAAAAGACGAGATTTTCAGTTCTGTGTTCTGCAAACCTTTGCTTGTGTAACAGTTTCAAATAGGGAGCTAAACATAAAAGGGCATTGTTTGAAAGGATTTCAGAGAAGTCTTTCATAAAGCAGAAACTTGAAGGGATTTACTGCTTGAAAGCAGGAGGTCGCAGAGTGAGGCACAGGTCTGCAGGGGCTCATTGGCAATCCAAGGTGTCCCACTACCTGCTGTGGTATAGCCCTTTCAGTTTGAGGTGTCAGAGGACTGTGCGCAGGACTTCCAGAGTGGCTGGAAACCGGAAAAGAGAAACACCCCAAATGAGGTTATCACCTCCTGAAGCCTGTGGCCGATTCCTGGCCTACGCAGGCTCAGGATCAAGAATAGCAAAGGCAGAGGTCAAAGGAAACGAGGCTCAGGTGCTCTCCACGCCAGTGGACACAAACTATGGAATCTGAGTCTCGCCAACTGAGAAAGGTTTGGAAAACACCTCTGCCTTCCAACAGAAATTCCAAAAGGATCACATTTGGGAAAACAACTGTTTTATGAATAAGGATCTACCCAAATGCACTTGTCTGACAAAGTACAAAAGACAAGCACCTACATGATGGGTAAGTTCAAGTCTTCAGGCAGTGTATGACTTAGATGCCAACAGACTCACATGCTGAAGGATTGATACCCAGCTGTGATGCTATGAGAGGTAAATGAAGTGTGAGGCCTCACCAGTGGACAATCCATGGATGGATTGCTGGGAGATGGTAGAAGTGGGTGGGGCCTAGCTGAAGGAACCGATGGAGGAGGGTCATCTCCTCCCCAGTCCCTTACCTTCCTTCCCAGGTGCTGTGAGGTAAGCAGTTTTGCTCCACCATACACACACTCTGTACTGTGATGCTTAGCCTGACCCAGACTCAAAGGAACAGGATCGAGCAACCATGGGCTGAAACCCCTAAAATCATGAACTAAAAAAAATTGCTTTTTGTAGGTATCTTGTTGTAGAGGTGAAAAACTGACACAGCCAGCAATTCAACTGCCCAGTTTAATTTCTCCAAAGATCAATTCTTTGGAAAAAAAATGGCACAACCTAGTATGTCTACACTGTATAATTCAGAATGTCCATTATACAGTGAAAACTTAGTAGACAGGAGAAGAAATCATAGTATGTGGCCCACACCCAAGAGAAAAGAAAGCAAAGTCATCCTGAGATGACCCAGATCCTGGAACTAAAGGATGGAGATTTAAAAGCAGCTATTACAGCTATGTTCAAGACTCGAGGGAAATGATGGCTTAACGAGTGAACAAGTGGGAGACCTCAGCAGAGAAATGTAACTGTAAGAATCAAACGGGTATTTCAAAACTGAAAAACAAAATGATCTAAAAACCCACTGAGTGGTCTTAAAAGCACAGCAGAGCTGGCAGGAGGGCTGGTGAACTTAAAGACGAGGCAACAGACAGATCCGCCTGGAAAACTAGAAATACTGAGGGACAGAAGGATCACTTCATGAGCTGACATGAAGTGGTTCTACGCAGGCAGAATGTACGGAGGTGTGCCTGAAGACTGATGCCAATCAGTCTCTAAATCTGGTTGAAAACATCATCTTATATATTCAAGAGGATTTTAGCAAACCTGAAGCAGGATAAATATACAGAAAATGAAAGCTAGGCAGATCAAGTCAGACAGCTGAGACACTGAAGACGGGCTTGGCTTTGGAGGGCAGGTGCAAATAACCCACCATACACAAGGAGGCACTATACATTATGACTATGTTCCGAAAGAAAAATGGGGCTGGAGAGAGAGCTCAGTGCTTAAGAGCACTTGCTCTTCAGTTTCCAGCATCCATGTTGAGTGGCTCACAACTGCCTATAATTCTAGTTCCAGGGGATCTGATAACCTCTTCTGGCCTTGGAGGACACCCACACATGTGTACAAACATACACATACATATAAACAAAAATAAATCTTAAAAGGGGCTGGAGGGATGGCTCAGCGGTTAAGAGCACTGGCTGTTCTTGCAGAAGACCCAGGTTTGAATCCCAGCACCCACATGGTTGGGTTATAACAATTGTTCGTAACTCCAGTTCCAGGGGATTCGATGCCCTTTTCTGTCCTCTGCAGGCACTGTACAACATGAGTGCACTTAGACACATGCAGCATAACACTCATACACATAAAATAAAAATAAATTAATTTTAAAAATCTTAAAAAGAAGAAAAGAAAAATGGAGGCTAGAGGCAGGCCCTATAAGGACATTCTAAAGTGCTGAAAGAAAAATTCATGGTCCATTCAGAACTCTAGTCAGAGAGCTTAATTAAAGGAGAAAGATTCTTCTGATAAATAGGCTGAGAGATTCTGCTGCTGACAGGGGCAAGGCCTGAAGGGAACCGTCTGGGCTGAAGGGCGAAGCCCACAGAGGGAAACCTGAACACACAGGAACTGCACACGAGGGCAGACTCTGCACACTTAATTTCCTTAAAAGATAACTGAGGGTTTCAGGCAAGATTTTAACACTGTATTATGGGGTTTACAATGTATGTAGATGAAACAGGTGGCAGCAAGGGTACATAGGCTGGGGAGGGGAGGGGACAGATTGCTGGAGGTTCTCAGGGTTGTGAGTGGTGGAGACTCACGGGCTCACTGTAGCAAGCTAAACTGCCTGTGCTTTCCCGTTAGGCTGTCACACACACCGCTGCTCCACAGAGGCCCATGATCTGGCTCCCCATGGACTCGCTGTCCCAAACACAGCAAGAGAGATGTGGGTTCTCACCAAGTGAACGCCCCACTTTAAAGCAATGCAAGGTTACCATTTAGAAGCACTGCTCTAAGTTTCAAAGTGAACTAACACACTGACAAGCTGGCAAGTGACTTACCAACTGCCGACTACCAGTTCTTTCTTCCCTGTCTCCACCCCACACTTCTTGCTTCTTAAGACTCTTAGCCCTTGTCAGCCTTTTCCCTTTTTTAGGTGGAGAGTGGACTGGAAAACTGAGTTCAAATACAGTTATTTGATGGGTTGTTTGGGAAAAGAAATAAGGCAGAGATCACAAGGTTTTTGGTTTACTGCAGGCTTGGGGGACTAATAAGTCCTGGAGCAGAGTTGCCCAGGGTACGGTACGGATGACTGCTCTAATGGTGTGTTATGAACACCTGGCTGGTGACCTTGAATGTTGGTGGCAATGCTCGGTAGGTTTGGCCACTGCACCGATTAGATTTGGCTGGACCTTCTGTTGTCTTACAAGCCCTCACTTCTGTGTGCCTTTTTCGTGAGACTGTCTTTTGCTTAGGTTATTCTTTGGCCCCAGCTCAATATCATCCCTCTGCACAAAGCCTCACTTCCTGTGTCTTCTGAATGAGCCTTCCCTGACTGACTTCACTGGAGCTCTCCCTCCACGTACTTCTAACACTGCCCCATAATTTCTAGCAGTCTGTATTATAATCTCTCATTATGTTTATTTCCAAAATTAAATTGTCCTCAAGGACAGGAATACCCAACTTTATATTTTTATCAATATATTCTCCTGTGTCTAATACAGTGCTAAGCACACTGTAGGTGTTTAATAAATGCTTGCTGACTAAGATTTCTGCTAAGAACAACTTCTTGCCTTGACCCCAGCTGGACAGGGAACTGGAGGAAAACCTATGTACTGACTTGGGATACAACCACCACCATGGATCCACGTCAGCCTCAGACAGTGGAGGGGAGAGGGTGCTATGGTTTTGTGACTGCTGGAGACTGGAAGGAGGAGCCCAAGGGGCTGTGCTCCCCGACAAGCTTCTAGACCCTGAAGTGGGAAGGCAGTCTCTTCCATAATCGTCAGTGCAGGAGAGACTGACGGTGCGGGGCTGGCATTTGTAAAATCATGTCAACAAGAAATGACAGTGCTCTCTCTCCATTTGGGACGGTTCTCCTTCAGCAAGCTGTCAGATTTGAGTCTGTGATTGTACCCGATGCCTGGAGGACCCGATGCCTGGAGCACCCGATGCCTGGAGTGCAGTCATTGCACTGCTCATGGTTAAGCTTCCATGCTTCTTCTAAGCTCTTATTAAAGTCAAGGGTCTGATGGGACTTCCCAGTTGTGAGTGAAAAGACGCATTTTCTAAACTCATAAATAGAAATGTGGTTAAACGCTTGGCCTCAGGTACAAATAATTAAAGTTAGTTAAGCTATGACTGTCCTTCCTGGGTCTGCTGGGGCAGGGTTCCCAGATAGCTTTGGCAGAGGGAGGGAGACAGAAAGACAGGTAACTAACTACTATTTCTCTGAAGCAATTCCACCAGGCCAGGGCAGGCAGGTAGAAACTGGAGTCCCTAAAGGCATATATGTGTCAAAAGCCCTGCAGACTGGCTGACTGACTAGAACTTCATGGGAAGTTAGAACATTGCAGATTGAGAGCCAAAATTATCTTGGCCTGTCTCTGAACTATCATTTGCATTTGACCAAGCAACTCTATGGCTATCAGGCTCACAGCAGCTCACTATCTTCTAAACCGCAAAGCTAAGAATGCCGCGAGATGGCACCTGAAACCCATAAGAGATTTCCCTGCCCTGTGGTTAACTTGCTTACCAGATGTCCCCACTGTTGTTATTTGGTAAATGCACTGACTTATGACCTTTTTCTCTGTGACTACAAAAGTCTCTTCTAGAGGGGAAGATGTTGCTGCAGATTAGGGTTCTACCGTGTGACAATCTTGTCAGATGGGATTTAGAATCACCAGAGAAACAAGCCTCTGGGCATACCTACAAGGAAACTTTCAGATTATCTTAACTGAGATGGGAAGACACACCATAAATGTAAGTGGCATCATCCCATGGATTGGGGTCTTGGATTGAGCACCAGCATCCATCTGTCTCTGCTTCCTGACTGTGAATGCAATGTGACCAGCTGCCTCATGCTCCAGCCCCCATGCTTTCCCACCACGATGGACTGTATTCTCTAGAACTGTAAGCCAAAATAAACCTTTCTTCCCTTAAGAAAGCTTTTGTCAGGTATTTTGTCGTGGCAATGATAAAAGTAGCTAATACTTAGTGGGCATGGATTTGATCAAAACACCTTATATGCGTGTATGAAATTCTCAATAAATTATTAAAAAAAAAAAGTACACAGTATCTCAATAGTGTCCCACAAAGGAGCCTTTCTTACCTTCTCGCCGGTCATTTCTGAGGACTCGCACTTTCTCAATCTTCCCCAAGAGGGCCCCATCCTCGGCTAGGGAGAGAAAAGAGGCAGAGCATGGTGAACCCGAGTCTGCACAGAGCTCCAGGCTGGAGCATAGCATTCTCAATGACCTACAGAAGCCCTTCCTCTGGGCCCTCAGGAGGGCATCTCTTCCCTTGCTCTGGGATGCCCACTGCCCACTCCTCCCCAACACCCTACCACACAGGAGGCTGACCCCGAGGGTGAGGTGAGGTCATGTGACTCACGATCGTTGCTGTAGTCATCCACCAGGATTATCTCCTTGATGAGATGGGGTGGACTCCTCTTAAGCACACTGAGAAGACAGGGGACAAGAGCCTTGTGAGGGTTGAGTTCTCTTTTGGTTCCCCAGCCGTAGCTAGACCCCAATTCCCCCAGTGCCTGACAGTTTGGTGCCCTTGTCTACAGTCTCCACTGAGCTCTTTTGGTTTCCCAGCCTTGGCTGGAGAAGCCACCCTCACTTCCACTGCCCACTCTGTGCTTGGCAGTTGTCTGCAGCCTCTACTGACTGTGCCTGAGATGCAGCTGGTGCCTGGAACCCCAACACTTCCTATGAGATGCAATCGGTGCTGAGGGGTGTCTGTTGGCCTCACCTGACCACTGTCCGCAGCAAGGCCGACCTGGCTTCATTGTGAAACGTAATCACCACACTGGTGGCTGGAAGGTCTACCCGCCACTGTTTCCGCTGACACCTGAGGGATAATTAAGACCGTTCTGTGAGCAATGGGCACAGTCAGGCACAGACTGTCCCCAAGGGACAAGCAGTGGGCAGTCAGGACCAACAGAATATGGTTAGCTTGTCAGCTGTGGAAGGTTCTGGCACCACAAGACATATGGGCTCTGCTTAGAGATGAGGGAACTTGGCAAATGGTTAGGTATTGAGAGGTGCATTCTGAAGTGGTGAAATCAGTCCCTGTCGCAGGCAGATGCACCTTCAATCATGTGCAGGCCACACTTCACAGCAGTTACCTCTGGGCAGAATTGGTACCGCTGCTCTTTCCTCACCTTCTGGTTTGCCTGCAATAGGCTTGTGCTGTGTGAGTGACTAGGGGTCTGAGTCTCACAGAAACAATGGACCCACTGACCACTCTCCCTCATAATACCTGCAAGGCCACCCCCAGGAACCTAGTGACAGGAGTAGACTGTTCATGGGACTGGGGCTGGCAGGTGGGTGCATTGGGGCTGCCTCAAACACAAGACCATAAGAACCTAGGTCTGTAAAGATGGTAGGTGGCACAGGAACTCACATCTGGATGGGCACTTAATGAAAGCCACTTTTAAAGGTATGTCTCTTAAGGGTCTCCACTGACGATGCTCAAGTATCATATAATCAAGACATCTACACAGCCAAGTAGGATCTGGCTCAGTGTAGAACCCATGTGAGAACCCAGTCCAAGCCACTGCCCCACAGTGCAGTGTCCTAGAGTTTCCACAAAGTCCCCTAGGCAGGACATGGAACTTGAGAGAGCTTTAGGAAGCTGTCAGCTATGGCTGAGTGCAGCCAGAGTCCAGAGTCACCAAATGGTGAAGCCACTGACACCAAAGAGAGGGAGTCCAGCAGTGCAGGAGGGTCTACAAGGGGGTGCTGAGCTCGGGGGGACACCTGTAAGCTGCAGGGGGCCTGCTGCCTGTCCCTAGGCTCTTCCATGCCCACATTTGCCATCTCCCCAGGTGGCAGAGGGGGAAAGCCTTCTACAGTCCCACACACAGAACACTCAGTTTATTCTTTGGCTCCATCATCGGCACCCAGAATTAGATGGCGTCTGCCGTGAATGGAAGTCAGTGGGAGCAGGAGACGGATTTTAGAAGAACCCTGGGGCTCAGCCACAGCTTAGCACTCAAAGGTTGAGCAACAGGGTGGATGCTGGAGCAGCTGCTGTACGGCCACAGTGATGTGGGAGGGTGGGAGCTACTAAGACATGCGTGCTCCCTCAGGACCGAGAAAATGAGCTCGGAGCAACAGACTTCGAACATGAGCAAGAAAAGCAGTGCAATTACAAAGCAATTAGGCTGGAACGGCAGAAGGGGCTTCTTTGGCTAATTTTAGTCATTATAACAAGCTCCTTTCAATTAATCATGAGGAAATTGTGTAACAGGCAGTTGTTGGGGAAAAAACACCGCATTTTGCAATTAATATCTACTCTCACTGCAGCAGAGCATTTATGGACAAGAAAATCAATAGGCGAGCTGATCCCCCTCACACACGCACCCCATTTTAAAAATTAGCAGAAAGTTAAGAGGAATGGAAGGAAGAATCTGCAAAGCTTCAAATGTCAACAAATTACCAAATAACATCACTGCCAAGAAGCCAGTCTGTCATGCTACGGAAAGAGGACCCCATGCTGCTGTGGCCAGGCCTCGCTTAGCTCAGCAGGAATGGCTGAACCAACAGACCTGGGCTGAGAGACTCGCTCAACGGAGTTTACAGGGCCATGTAGGACCTTAAGACACAGACACAGAGACACAGATAGGCATTTTTCATTCTCGAATTACAGGAAACTAGGCCCATCCAATCACACCCCATTCTCTCGCTTTCCTTTTCTTTGCAGGAAGCTCATCTGCCAGAAGCTTTGGGAAGTCTCTCGGGGCTCTGGAAGCATTTTCTGGAACACACAGGGCTGCTGCTTTGCACTATTTTATTAAAACTCCTCTACATATTCATAAGGCATCAGGCTTTGCTCAGTCTTGGCAATCATGAGACTTCAGTGGGATGCCATTCTTAAGGAGTAACAAGAGGCTAAAGATCTTATATTCCGTGGGTTGGAGTGAGTTTAAGTACAAATCCAGATAAGCCTCATACTCAACCAAGATGGAGGGCCAGGGGAAGTTCTGTAAGAAAAAAAGGTAATGAATTTTGCATTTAAGAGCCATATCCCGGTCAGCCAGCCCTCCTGGTCCAGAGGCAAGCCGGAACCAAGGAGCAGGGCTGCAGGGCACTTCTGGGAAGCAACTGACAGCAGAGACAGCAGGGAGTACCTGCAGCTACACGATGCTGAGAAGACCAGCCACAGGGCCCAGCTTACTGGAGGCTCCAAAGACTTGTGCTGATGTGGTTATTCAGGAGCCCAGTAAAATGGAGACTTCACAGAGCAGACACAAAGATTTTTTTAAAACCCTTAGTATAGTTCTAGAGTTCTGGAATTAGCTGGCTCTCAAATTGGCTGGAAATGAAAGCTAAATGCAACGTGCCCTGTGGTGGAGGTGGCCCGAGATGCAGGTGTCTCATTGGAATCATCCAGTGAGGGAGAAGGTCAGCTATGTGGAAAGGAAACTGAAGCATATTTCCCATGCCCCCCAGTGCAGCCCTCCTCAATCCCCCCAGCTGGTCTAGTTTCTGCACAGGGCTTCTGGTGCCTTTGGGCATTTCTCGCTGAGATGACTCATCACTCCTATGACCCTCACAGACTTCTATGACTACTGGGGAAATATAATAGACCTAAAAAGTCCTCTGACAGAGAGGCAGCTGTCACTGCTCTTATAGCACAGGTCGGGCTGCACACTTGGCAGCCATGTGTCCGTGGAGACTACCATCTGAGGACCATAGGTTAGAGTGGCACTTTCCCTAATAACATGGATTTGAGGGCACGGGGTGGACCCTGAGGCACACTTGCAATCCACAGATGGTATCTGGGGTGAAGAACAGAGGGAGATTCCTAGGCCTTCTGGAAGATGGAGAAACATTCGATGCAAAACAGTTTAAGATCTACACTGGGCTCAGGGAGCCACATTCATTATGAGACAGTTCTTAAGACTTTGTGGTGAATCGCAGGCAAGATCTGCTTCAGCTTCCTGAAACACCCATCCCATCCAGATATATTTGGATTGCCATTGTCTGGAATTGTGAGGCTGGGCCTTCAGAGTGGACTCTTGCTGTTCCCTCTGGGATAGGTCAGTTATCTAAGAAGTGGGTTTGTTATAAGCTCACCTACTCTCTGCAGCATTGCTGAACTGTCGTTGCACACAAGAGGTCCTCACCAGAGGATGGTACTGAGTTCTCTGTCTTGGCCTGTTTTCTGCTGTTGTAATGAGATCCCAATTGGGAAATCCACACCCTGGGAAACTGACAGAGAACTCGGTACCATCCTCTGGTGAGGACCTCTTGTGTGCAATGACAGTTCAGCAATGCTGCAGAGAGTAGGTGAGCTTGTAACAAACCCACTTCTTAGATAACTGACCTATCCCAGAGGGAACAGCAAGAGTCCACTCTGAAGGCCCGGCCTCCCAATTCCAGACAATGGCAATCCAAATTCCATGACTGCTGGAGGGACAGTCCAACCACAGTAAGTGGTAATTAAGCATGAGTCAGGCTTTTTCTATGGGAAAGATGTAAACAGACATATTTTAAAGATAAACGTCAAGTTAAAACAGTGTGGCTCTCCTAAGCACCTTCTGGTTATCTGACCATAGAACAAGCCTGCTGGGATCCTCTGTGGCCAGGAGAGCCCTTTAGTCCTGGTCAGGGTTTCAGGGTTTGGGTGTCACCCATCCACTCTCTCTCTCTCTCTCTCTCTCTCTCTCTCTCTCTCTCTCTCTGGCAGGATGTAGGCCACAGCATGACTTCTCAGTGTGTATCCTCCACCTCCCTCAAGTGATGTCTCAAAGGTGGACAATGCTAGGCCTAGCAAAGGCACACATTTCAAGGTCTGGTCGCAATGATGTGTATTTACTTTTATGGATGACACAACTGGCATTCGGGTTCCTTCAGTCTGTGAATGTAGTGAGAGAGATAATTCTAGCTTTGATTTGCTGACACAAAAACAAAAACCAAAGCAGGAAGGAAAAAAAAGTCCCTGTGTTTGCAAAGATGAAGAGTCAGATCCTGGGCGACAAACAGACATCAAGGAGATAAGGTCCCAGGTCTCCTTACAGGTCCAACCTGACCTCCAGTGACGTCAAGACAGCACTTAGAGGCATTAACACACAAGCAGGCACCTCCATTCTGCAAATCTTAACATTCTGTCATACTGCCAATTGGCTGAAATTTTTCAAATGAAATGGCAGGTGACAGGCAATAGTTCCAGTTCCTTCATGTCTCTTCCTGCTTCAACTCCATGTCATGGTAGGTAGTCACTGTCCTGGATTCAATCCTAGGTTTTTTTTTTTTTTTTTTTTTTTTTTTTTGATAAGTCCCAGCTGTCCTGGAACTCACTATGTAGACCAGACTGGCCTTGAACTCACAGAGATCTGCCTGTCTCTGCCTCCCGAGCACTGGGATTAAAGGAGTGTGTCACCATGCCCAGCATGTTTAAAAAGTCACATACACTAATATTCATGAGTGTATTAGTCACTTTTCTGTTGCTGTGATAGAAACACTGACCCAAGCAATTTATAGAAGGAAGAATTTATTTGAGCTTATGGTTCCAGGGGAATTACAGTCTGTCTTGGTGGGGAGGCATGGTGGCAGAGGTGGCTAGAGAAGAGGAGCAGAAGCTAAGCTCTACATCTTCTAGCAGGCACTGGAAACAAGAGAGCAACTGGAGATCTGGCAAGGCTTAAGAACTCTCTAAGCCCACCCCCAGTGACGTGCTTCCTCCAGGATAGCCGCATCTTCTAAAGTCTCCCAAAACAGCGCCACCATGTGGGGACAAAATGTTCAAATACTTGGAGCCTATGGGGGACATTTTCATTCAAACCATCACAGAAGGGGAAGAACCACCCTAAATGTGGGCAGCATCTTCTGGTGGCAGCCCAG